ATTTTTTTTTTTTTTTTTTTTTTTGATAGGTGTGTGTACAAATTGCTGCAAATAATGAATGGTGACACGAATAATTCTTTATGCGAATTATGATAATATTCGCAATCTCCCGTTTTAATCGAGATTTTATTAATGAGACTATAAAATGTAACGAGGAAATTTTAATCGATTTTGATACAATCGCTTTTGTAGAAATATGAAATTCTTGATGAAAAATCAAATGGCCTCACATTATCGTTAAATTAAACACTAACTCTTGCTGTCATGAAATATCAGTCTTGTTCCTTAACGAAATGTCTACCTTTTTTATTCTTATGACAAAGTATCTGTAGTCTTGTACTTTATAATTCACACCGTCCTTCGGGTGTGTTTGTTGGTCGTAAGAAAGACCATCGACCGGAAGCGAGTACCACCTTATCGCATGTTCTTTGGTTTGCCTGATTTTTATGCCAATTCGGATAATTTGGACCTCGTCTTTCGTTGGTCCGTGCATCAATCGTCGTCGCAACACACAAACGCGCCCATAATTTTCTACTGATATCGCATGACAGCGATACTGATATGAGAAGAAAACGGAATTCTGTATCTTTTCTGTCGTCAAGTCGTTCTTAACTCGGAAATAATCACCTAGAGTATCTTTGTATCCTAGCGATAAGAAAATGTGAATTGTAAAATAATTGTTTTGTAAAGATATTATTTTACATATTTTCTTTTTTTTTCTTAATTATTTTTTACAAACTTTTAAATATATGATTCCATCGAAGATGGAATAAAAAAGCGTTATATTACAATAACTAAAATTGTTTTAAAATATTGTTATAATCTATTAACGCGCTTATTTCATTTAATATTTGTTTCGTTTCTACTTTCCTTTAGAAAATTCATTAAAATCGTATCTATTTTGTTTTCAAATTCTAATAAATATTAATAAATAAGATCAGAAAACAATCTCAACGATAAAGTTATTAAAAAATAATAATAAACAAATTTATTTGCAGTAAAAATAGGTGATTATTTACATAAAGAAAAAAATTGAGCTAATTACTCCCGTGTTAGTGCAATTTCACATATGTGTGATAGGAGTAGTAATTTAGTCGACGATTTAGTTCTTTCTGTTCATGAATGCGGCACGCTTGAAGAAACGCACCCGACGTGATGGCATCTCCGCATCATCGTATTACATCTATGCCGTCGGAACAATTGCGCGCTCCATTTTATGCAACATCAAAGGCATGCCAAGGCGTGTGAATCGCGCGTTTTCTTTTGTCCGATCGGACTGGATAAAATGAAAAACACTGACCGTGACTACTGTTGACCGAGTATTACAGAAATTTTGTAATACTCGACGATCGCGTGGGAGGCGATTGTTCCCTCATATAGCCAGTTTCGCGGCATTCGTATCGTGATTAATCCTTCTATTATGATAGAATTAACTTTGCAATATTTGCATCGTGATAAAATGACAATACGTCTCGTAAAATATTAAATTTTTTAGAAGATATTAGCCAGTGATGCTTGAAAGCTGATCGATTGAGTGTAGACTATACAGATAGTACAGATAGAAATCACGCGATGGAATTATGCCTGACAGCGGTTAACTCTACATTACTTGCGTGTAAGTTTTTTAACATAATTAGTCGCGAGATGTTTCAGTGACACTTTAACATTATTATCTCAATTTTCATTGTTTTCTCTCTTTCTCTCTCTTTAATGATTTACAATTAAATAAAAATTGATAATATTCTGTACGTCTTTTAGATAAAGATAAGTGCAAAAAAATTTTTTAATTGTGAAACAAATTGCATGAAATATAATAATATATTGTGTATAAATAACACCATACATTTTTTTCACTATTCTTTTTTTGAGCCATATATTATTAAAGGAAAATTTACTAGAATCAAGATCGCGCGACAAGAATGGAACATTTTTTTAAGGTGTGAGTAAATTTGTACGACCGAGGTGTCTCAGACATTGCATGCAAATAATGAAGGGTTCGTGATTTCCGATCCATCGTCTAACGTAACCGCAACGGAGCGATGGTCTTTTATGCAATACCAGATAATCAGCGGCAGTCATTTGAATTCTTATCAAAGGTAGCATCATCGGCATCCAGTTGATCTGCGTAAAAATACCACGTATTCGATTAATTCTGGGAAGCTTCCTGACGTATTCCGTCCTCGTTCAGACCGACTGACTCATGCAATTGCCAGTTTGCGAGGACAAGGCGCGTTTTAATGCATATCTCGCAAATTAGGCCTAATCACTGCGTTCAGTTCTCTTTCCGTGCAAATTAAATATTCCACTCAGGAGTCGCGCATACGTATAGCTCTCTATTTCAGGCAAGGACTAATGCAGCACGGCTTCCTTCTTGGACTGTTTCCTTCCTACCCCAACTCCTTCCCCCACGTCGTTCAATTCGTGATCTCACGGAACGATCTCGATCGTTAGGAGTCAAGTGCACCGTTCCTTCTCGGTCGACCTCCGGTCGCTCGGTCGCCCCAAGGCGAAAAGTTACGTGGCTTTTATAGTCCGATCTCTCACGAGTTGGCATCACGGACATCTCGCAAAAGTCGCTCTTTAAACAGATCGGCGCGTGCCTGCATCCCATATCGGTAATTTGTTAGATCACGCCCGACCTTTATACGTCGTCAATTAATTTCCGCTTTTTTTTTTTTTTTTGCAATAAACAGAAACTTCGCTGCAGACATTCGCACAAGATTAAGCGTGAAATTAATGTCGATAAGACATTAATTAAGTACAGTCATTTTGTATCCTTTGATTTATATATGCGTAGATAATGATTTCTTTAAATATTTCAAACTAATTTTGAATACTTTTAATCAAATGCTGACAATTATTATATACTCCAATTTTTTAAGATATAGTACGGAAAGTCTATAATTTCTAATTGCTTTTTAATTCAACAATATTATGTTTTGTGAGATATTTATGTGAAGAAAAATTATCTCTGATTGGCGTAAAGGTTCTATATACTAATATGGAAGAAAGTGCAGCAAAGCTGAGATGTTTACATTATACACTTACGATTATGCTCGCCATGCAATTAGTCATCTCTACAGTTGCTCGCTACCCATTTTCTTAAGTATATACCAGAGGACAAAGTCTTTGCGTATGAGTCGATTAAAGTTATTAGCCATATTTCGCAAGCGGACATTAATCGCGTCGCTGACAAGTCCTGAGATGTTGGTTACTTGTTGGCAGAAAAAAAAAAAACGGGTACATCCTCACGTGCAATTTGTACGGTTTCCATTAATGGCGATTGTGTCTCGATTGAAATTTAAATGTGATTACGAGTTACACGCGTACGGCGCACCTACGCGCGATTTAACGACTTGTGTTTGTATCTATCACGATTGATTGCGTGCCAGAGAATTCCTCTTAACCCTTTATCGCACGATTTTTTTCCTCAGAAAAAAGCGCATCCTATAAATCCTTTTAAATAAACTCATTTATCCCTCCCGAGTTGTAGTGTAATCAACGCCATCGTATTCCGCAATTAGGTATGTATACTGTATTTATAGCTCTGACTGAAACGTTGATTATCTTTAACACACTGTGATAACTCAAACTATGCAGGTAATTTTTAAAATACATTATTGATAATCCTATCTCTAGAAATTTTAACCACTGTGTGTTGACTTGGTGTTTTTTTTTTCTTATTATAAAATGCTAGAAATATATCTCAAAAAGAATATTTTATTTATTCTTAGAAAGAACAGTTTTATTGGAGTATCTAAAATAATTGAGCTAAACACAAATCTAATAATTTTACTGAATTGTTAAAATAATTATATGTATAGAATGCTCAAAAAAAGTTAGTTGCTATAATAGAGTTTTATCAAAGTTTTTGCGGCGTTACTTATCGTACTTGAGTTTTCATAATTACTTTAATGGTTCAGTAAAATTATTTTCAAATCTGTATCTATCTATGTCTTTTTAGATATACTTCAGTGAAATTGTTCTTTCCGTGTATGTGTAGTTCACTGTATGACATAATTTTTTTTATTTCTGGAACAGTTAAAATCTCGTTAAAATCTCGGTACACGCCCCTAGGATTT